TTAAAAAAAAAAAGTTGAATGTGAGCGTGTCGCAAGTCACTTCAACACATTCTCAATCCCACACAAGATCACCCATCATATCAATCTTCTTCTTCATTCTTTTTTATTCCAATCTGTAAAGCAAATATAAAAATTAAAGAAAGCAAAAGGAACAAAAGAAGAAGAACCCAACAAATCATCACATCTGGTACGTCTTTCGCTCTTGCGCAGACTCCATAGCTTTGTTTGTTTAAGTCAGTCAAGTGCATTCTAATCTTCTTCTACTACAAGAAGCGCCGCTAAATAGATCTAGAAGATGTTTTCTTCTCGCTCACTATACTAGTAGATTTGGAAGATATCGTCTTCTCCCTTGATCGTCTTCTGTAGCAGATGGAATGATGGAGTTGAGGATGGACGAGAAAGAGGGTTCAGGGTCAGTCCGAAACCTGGTTTTGACCTGATAACCAACTCGGTCTCAATGTTTTGAAAGCCGGACCGGACAATGAACTGGTAGAGACAGCGGGTCATGGTTCATACGGTCGGACCGTGGTCGAACCGCGGTTGGACCGGTTATAATTAAATATATTAATATATTAATTATATATAGTATAATACTGGTCACAACATAAAAATTTAATTTATTTATCATTAAATTTTATTATTATAGTTTTTAGAAAAGCTAATTTTTATGTTGATGATTTTGAAAAATATGGTAATTATGTTATTATCAATGAGCCCACGTGAAAAGAAGGGGATTGGTGAAAACGTGTGGCAGGTGAATTGTCAGCAGTGGAAACGTGTGGTAGCGGATAGAGATTTGAGGAACTGAGAGGTAACATAGAGTGAACAGTAGTATTGAGGAATAATGAGGATTTCATTCGAGATTGAAGAGCAAGGAACTGGGAGAGACGAAGACCACCGGAGGCTGATATATGCTTCTCTTCTTGTAAGTGATTTTCTTCTCTCACTCTCAAAGTGGTTTGTTTCTGCATTACAAAGAGACTGAGATTGAAGAGTTGAGGGTGAATTGATGTCAGATTTTTCCTCCTGTTTTTCCTGATTTCATTTTCCATCTCTGCCTTCTTTTTTCTCCCTAGCCGGCGGCTCTCTTCCAACCGTCTCGGTTCCTGGGTTTTTACGGTTTCCGGCCTAAATACCGGCTGAAAACGGCTTAATTCGGGCAAACCTTTGAAGCAGCTTAATAACATAAAACGGCCCGCCATTGTTGCCAGTTGACGGTCAGACCGGTCGGACCGTCCGGTCCGATCCGGTCTCAACAACATTGCTCGGTCTGGTCCATTCTTTTTTTTCCCCCCCTTTTCTTTTGTTCGGACTGCTTTTTCTTCAGGTTAGACTGGATTGAGTTTTTTTTTTTAACAGTCATACTTTACAGATTTTAAAATAAACATGTGAGAAGCATTTTGTCTTAATTTATGTAAAAGTATCTTTTTATGTGTTTTTTGATGTTTCAAACACCCTAAATTGCCAATATATGTTTATTATTATGGAACAAGTGGAAAGCATGGTTCGCTGGTCATGTACAAGTGTTGTTCTTAACAGCCATATTTTACGGATTTTGAGATAAATACGTGGGACTAATTTTATTTCAATTTACGTGAAAATATATTTTTAAATGTTTTTTTTAGCGTTTCAAACCCTCTAGATTGCCAATATGTGTTTATTATTATGGGACAGATGGAAAGCTTGGCTCGTTGGTCAGGTATTAATGGCGGGGCAGTTGCATACGTGTGTTAGCTATCGTATGTTTGCAATTACTGACTGCATTCAGTGAATTGAAAATACTTGAAAGAACATGAAAACATTTTATTCTTTTCAGTAAAGTTTTAATTATCACCCCTTATATATATATATATATATATGGAGAAAATGACATAAACATATTTGTTGAGTTTTAAAAAGATAAGTAGGTCAGGGTGAATATTTTTGTAATGGTTCTAATAAGCTAAAATTTGTTAAAATTACCTATTTATTATTTTAAAATTCATGAGGTATTTTTATATATATCACATGGAAAAATCAGACTAAATGTAGATATTTTATTAATGCATAAATTATATGTACATGTATTGCTGGTATATACAACGCCAACTTTGGCAGGCAACTGCTTTCCCGCACAGAACTGGTGGTGACGGGACGCTGCCTCATGGGCATCATTTTCAGGGATCCATACTTGAAAGCGACGGCTTTTTTTTTTTGAGTAGGATGGTATCGCTAACTCAGGATATCCCAGTTTATCGGCCAGACTAATTCCAGGGTGCCTCGCACAGGTATCGAGCTCATGACGTGGTAGGGAAGACGCCTTGCGTTCCCGTTTGCGACCAGTCGGACCCAACCTTTGCAGGCAAAAGCGACGGCTTTATCAGTATAGTTTTGAATTCTGTTTGAGGCATCCCAGTTGAGTTCCATGCTGGACTCGTCCTGGGATTCTTCCGTCTTTATCTGTTTCAGATGCTGAATCAATGATGCTTGAAGGTCCGTGAAAAGAGACTATCCTTTTGTTTATCTTCTCTTCTCTGTTATGAGGGGATGTTGCCGTTGATTTAATTTGCATCATTCTGTATTTCAAAAAATAAACTATCCAAATTGAAATTTGACCATGTCATGATGAATCAAATCTCTCACGGCAGCACTTTCTTCAAATACTCGCACGGTCCCACCTTGCTGTGTTTATAGCCTGAATTCTGTTTATTTCTATCTTCTATCCAATACATTGAGTAAATAGTAATGCAATGAAAATTTGTAATTAGTAAATGATATATTTGTCGTTACTTCATGTTTTTAATATAAGAGCTAATTTAAAATTCAATTTGGTTCTAAATATAAAATTTCAACGCCTCTCACATATATCTATTTTTTTCTACAGTAGTCCTCATAATAGTTGAACATGTTAAAAGTTTTATTAAAAGGTAGTTCCGGCTAATACCCTTAATTAGTAAAGATATTTTAAAAAATTATAAATAATTAATATAACTAATTTTTTCAATTCACTTAAATTAATCAACTAGCTCATGTATTAGGAATCAGAGAAATTATTTCATCTGCGTGCACGCGCAAAATTATGAGGTGAACATGTCCTTGTAGATCATTAAATGCCAACTTATATAGATTACAGTATTACACTGTATCTAAAAACATTATGGTGCATGAACATTTTTTAAAATAATCAGTGATTTTTTTGGTACACATTAATGTTTCTGTAATTAACACTTTAAGTTATGAATTGAGAACGAAGAGTCCCAACTCTCTCAAGAAAACAAGGGTTTTGGTCATAAAAAATCAGGCAGTCACACTCGATTACGCTTCATTTTTGCTAATTTTGACAAGATTTTTGTTAAATTTGTTAGTAGAGTGACGATGTGTTTATTTAAATACAAACAATTTTATGGAATACAAATCAGAGTTGGGGGAAAATTTTTTTATTCACTTTTTAAATATTTGCATATAAGACTTTGAGATAAACACATTCCTTCAAATCATCATTAAATACCCACTTATATATAAGATCACACTGCATCTAAAATCATTGAGATGTATTTTGTGCAATAATCAATGATATGTTTTTGGCATACATGGTGGATGTTTCTGTAATTAATAGTGTAGGGTTATAAATAGGAAATGAACACGTTCATAATGATATTACTTCTGGTTTGATAGTGTTTGAAAATCTCAAAAAAATACTTTTTAAAAATGTTTTCAAATAAATTAAAATAATTTTTTTACATATTTATTTTTGATATTATAAAATAATTTTTAAAATCATGGTTAAAAACTGGTCATGACTCATGAGAAATTAACCAGCAGATGTGTCAGCATATGATTAAATTTTGACTTAATTACGGGCTAGCAAAGATTCCAACTGCAATTACTTCACCCGACACGTAACAGTGATTTTTTTGAAAAAATATATTTTATTATTCTTTTTTTCCCTAACCATATTTTGTTATTCCTTTATCCGTAGGAATTGTAGGTGATCAATTAAATGAAGCTTGGCGGGTAGGAGTTTGCTGTCAATCAGACATATCAGCAGCTCAATTTCATCTCGTTCCATCTCATCTGGATCGATCGCCTGGGAAGACACAGCGAAGATTATTCATCACAATATATTTGTGCGCCCAAAAATTACTTTAATTTATTATATATTGATGATAATTCGTATAAACACACTATGCATCATTTATCAAAGTAACTTCAGTAAATAATTTTGCATGGGCCTGGTATTAGCAAAGGAAATATTTATATCAAAAGCTGTTATAGTAGTTAGCTAGCCAAGTCAGCGGAAAAATATTATTCCTTTTATTATTTTTTTATCCTTCACACTCAATACATGATGTTATGGGTCACCACATTTGACGTGGAATAATGAGTTGACAGCAAATATTGAACTTTAAGCATCACTAGGTAAAAATAGTATTATTAACAATTATTGATCTGTTCAATTTTTTTTTTTAAAAAAAAAAGGTTCCACTAATGTTAAGAATCAAACACCTTTTTTTTCCCACCAGTTATTCTCCTGTCCTTCAAGTAGGTCTTTCTCCTCATTGCTGCTTAAAGTGAATGTCACTGATTAAACTATACTAATAAATTAATTAATAATTAATATTCTTGGGGCAATTATAAGCCCGCCAAAAAAAAAAGAGAATGAGTAGGGAAAGACCGAAAGAGGGAGGCAAAATTACCAGAAATAGCAAGCATACAAAACAAATCACAAATTCGTTGCTTTCCGTAAATATAAAAGTATCCCGTTTTAAAGTTTTAAATCCATCCCTCTACTCTTCCCCGGTAAATGGTAATTCCCACCGACATGCCCCATCCCGTAAAACAGAGGTAGGACCCACCAATCGCTACCCCAATCCCAGCACCATCTTGATCCACGTGTTGGCTTCCGCTTCCACTAATCAATCACATCCCGGATATCCATGCGCCGTTTGGCAATTAAGCGAGTGGCGACCGCACCCGATCGTAGCCTCCTTCGTATATTGTAGCTCTTTCCCAAACAGACCACACATCGCGAAACAGAACAATTAGGTGTTCCGGTGGGTGGAGCTTCCTCTTCTCCTCGTCTAGATCTCGCAGAACTGGTTTCTCGATTCAAATCATTTCAACTTCCTTAATCGCCCACAGCTGCGAATCCACAAATAAGAGCCAGTCCGAGCATTCGTCCCCGTTTTATTCGGACCGCGGATCTAGGAGAAGAAAAGTAAGGTCAGTTCCGGGAATTTATCGTTTCTAATCGTGGAAAATTGTTTTTTCAACAATTTGACCTTAAATTTGACAAAGATGAGTTCTCACAAATTGGAAAAAACGAACTTTGCCATGGTGGATTTTTACTTATAGTTTTGAGCTCCGCGAGTTGGGGACTGAAAGGGAGGAGGACTGTTAGATCCGACTCGTAGGACGAGGAAGAGTATCTGGCCTGGGAATCATATTTGAAAGATGGCGCCGAGCACGATCCGGAAGGCGATTGGGGCGGTGAAGGACCAGACTAGTATTGGGATTGCGAAGGTGGCTAGCAATTTGGCACCGGAGCTCGAGGTGGCGATCGTGAAGGCGACGAGTCACGACGACGATCCCGCAAGCGAGAAATACGTGCGGGAGATCTTGAGCTTGATGTCTTTTTCTCGTGGCTATGTTCATGCCTGCGTTTCCGCGGTGTCCAAGCGCTTGGGGAAGACCCGGGACTGGATTGTGGCGCTTAAAGCACTTATGCTTGTGCACAGATTGATGAATGAGGGACCCCCCTTTTTTCAAGAGGAGATCTTATATGCCACGAGGAGGGGAACTAGGCTTCTCAACATGTCCGATTTTAGGGACGAGGCTCACTCTAGCTCCTGGGATCATTCGGCTTTCGTCAGGACCTATGCTATGTATCTGGATCAACGGCTCGAGTTGATGCTGTACGACAGAAAAAGTGGAAGTGTTGGGGGTGGTAGTGGCGGGGGTAGCGGGGACGACAGATTTGGTGGTAGAGATAATTTTAGGTCACCCCCACCGAGACCGTATGAAAATGAGTATGGATATGGAGATTTTCGGGGGGAAAGTGGATATGGAGGTGGGATGCGACGGACTAGATCCTTTGGGGATATGAGCGAAGCGGCGGGCCGAGAAGGCAGAGAGGAGAAAAAGGTCAATACTCCGTTGAGGGACATGAAGCCCGAGCGCCTTTTCGGCAAGATGGCTCATCTGCAGAGGTTGCTGGATAGATTCTTGGCTTGTAGGCCGACGGGATTGGCGAAGAATAGTAGGATGATTTTGATTGCATTGTATCCTGTTGTCAGGGAGAGCTTTCAGCTGTATGCTGATATTTGTGAGGTTTTGGCGGTTTTACTTGACAAATTCTTTGATATGGAATACCCGGACTGTGTTAAGGCATTTGATGCTTATGCCAGTGCAGCAAAGCAGATCGATGAGCTTGTTGCCTTCTACAACTGGTGCAAGGATACTGGTGTAGCAAGATCGTCGGAGTACCCTGAAGTTCAGAAGATTACTAGTAAGTTACTGGAGACACTGGAGGAATTTGTGAGGGACAGGGCAAAGAGACCAAAGAGTCCAGAGAGGAAGGAGGAACCTGAACCTGTGGCTAAAGAAGAGGAGCCAGCGCCTGATATGAATGAAATAAAGGCATTACCTCCTCCTGAGAATCACACCCCGCCTCCTCCACCAGAGCCAGAACCTGAGCCACCAAAGCAACATGTTACAGAGGACTTGGTGAATCTGAGAGATGATGCTGTCACTGCAGATGATCAAGGCAATAGATTCGCTTTAGCACTCTTCAATGGTGCACCAGCTAACAATGCAAATGGATCATGGGAAGCTTTCCCATCAAACGGACAGCCAGAAGTGACTTCTGCTTGGCAAACCCCGGCTGCAGAACCTGGCAAGGCTGATTGGGAATTGGCATTGGTTGAGACTGCTAGCAATTTATCTAAGCAGAAAACGGCCTTAGGTGGTGGGCTTGATCCGTTATTGTTGAATGGCATGTATGATCAAGGAACGGTGAGACAGCATGTCAGCACGGCCCAACTGAGTGGGGGGAGTGCAAGCAGTGTTGCATTGCCAGGACCAGGAAAGAGTACTACCCCTGTTTTAGCTCTCCCTGCCCCAGATGGATCTGTGCAGCCAGTTAATCAGGATCCATTTGCTGCATCATTAACCATCCCACCACCATCATATGTGCAAATGGCTGATATGGAGAAGAAACAGCATTTTCTTGTACATGAGCAGCAAATTTGGCAGCAATACGCGAGGGAAGGGATGCAAGGTCAAAGTAGCTTGGCCAAAATCAATGGAACTGGATATTATGCTGGGGCTCCTACGCCAGCGATGCCTTATGGAATGCCTCCGGTCAATGGAATGGGACCTCCCACCGGGTATTACTATACGCCTTACTGATCCTCCCCACAACTTCATAGATGACTCCGATAATTTGTTATTGTGACTTGGTGATTTGTTTTTTGAACGATGTCATATTATTCTTGTGATTTGCACATCATATGATGAGGATTTTGGGGAGACTGAGTTGGAGGGACAAATTTCTTGACGTGGGCTTGATGGAGGGAAATGTGTAATTCAATTGTGATGTCTCTGTGTTTTATAATTGTAGAATTTTCTTCTCGGTTTTGTACTTAATGCTTCTTGCTCTTCAGAGACAAACTTGGCTACTGTAAATTTTACTTAACAGTTGCTGTTGATTGAGTGGGATGCCTAATGCCATTTCTAATTGTGGGAGATAAACTATAGGCGCCCATTATTCGGAACTGCGCACTGCTCATGATTGGCTTCTTCCATGTATGTAGATAGCGCAAGTAAAGATATCTTGTGCCATTCAGTGGATAGAGCTTGAGAGAGGATGCGTCTATTTCTGGTGGATGTTTGGGTTTTCTAATCGCGTTGGTATGCACTATTTGGAGCTAACCATATTTTGTTTGGTCACATAATGCAGTGGCACACATCAATAATTTATTTTCATATCATCAATTTATTAAAAAGTTAACGGAGGGACACAGAAAATATATGAATTAAATCATGCTTAGTGTTTTGGGCTTTTGCCTTGCATGTTATAAATTGTGAGGGGGAAAATATCAGGGCGATCGTCACATTGTATGGGATACTTTAGTTAGATATATTTCTGATGTGAAATTCTTGTTGATGGGGGTATGCGTGTGATATGAATGAGTGGGGGTAGGACGGGTCAAATATTTCTCCAAATTTCAGTTGGGAAGACGGGGAGGGTATGAGCTGTTCTTTGCTGTTTACCAACAAAAAGGGGTCCATTTGTTTGGAAAGGGAAATTGAATTCGTGGTGTAAACCTGCTGTCAAAGTGGTGATCGCGCTACATAAAGTCATGGTTGAACGTATAAAAAAGCAAGGGCGGTGGAAGCATAATGGCGTTGACCAAATCAAAGAATAATGATGAGTCCGCCATCCAGCGGGCAGTCGCGGGGTTGAATTAAGGGATAACTGCGTATTTACTTTCTAGAAGAATTATTTTTTGGGGGGGGGGGGGGGAGAAACACGTTGGACCTATTGAGTCGATATTTATAATTTATTTGTTTTAAAAAAAATTTGTTGGAATTTAACTATTATTAAATTGATATATTTTAAAATTGAACTGTCATTTTTTCCCCTAAATTATTTTGTCCAAATTAGTGGTCAAAATCCTTCAATGCGTCCCATCAAAAAATAAAAAATAAAAGATCCCTCAACGCTAATCGAACCCAGACAAACACAGCGAATGGAACCAAAAATAATTTACCATTGAGAGAACGATGGCATGGATGGCAGGCAGTTAGAAACACGGAGGAACCGAAAGGAATCTGAGAGGAGTAGAGAAGTCAGATATTTGAAGCAGAAGATCGTTCTCGTCATTTATTGAGCGCACGGCTTTATCCTGCGCTGCCTCCACAGGTTTCACAGCAACTCATGGTTTTGGCATATCTATATGGGACCTGCTTCTTTTCCGCTGTAGGCTCCAAAATGGGTATATCATCTCACACTAGTTTTCATGTCCGGCTCTTTTTTTTTTTTTCCTTTTAAATGAATAAATTACCCATAAGATCTTTTTTTGCCAACTCACTTTTTCAATGCTTCTTTGTTTGCGGAATAAAAATGTGAGACATACACCTTCACTTCCAGTCTGGCTTCGGCATGCCCAGTGTTTTCCCGTCAAATACCTCCATTCCGTTGTAAGAGTTAAATACATTTAATTTACAAATATAAAAAAAGTTAATTAAATTAGTTATTCGTAGTAAATGAGTATTGTCTTTTTAAAAATATTCTTGTTAATTATGTGCATTAAAATAAAAACCCGTAACATATGAAATTACTATGAGAACTACTACTTCCGGTCCTTAATACTCCTCCGGTCCTTATTATAAGACCCAATTTGACTTTTTATTTGGTCCTAATTATAAGATCCAATTCATTTTGTCTCTTATATTTATGCATTTTTTTCCAAGATAATCCTTCTAATAATGATAGTTTTAGCCAATATACTTAATTAGCAAGGATATTTTAGGAATGACAACACTTATTTATTATAAATAACCAACTTAACTTACTTCCTTAATCTCCTCAAATAAGTCAATTGGGTTTTATAATTAGGACCGGAGGAGTATAATAACAAGTTGACTATTTTGAGCATATTAAGAAAACTAGTTAAGTTAATTATTTGTAATAAATAGGTGTTATTTTTCTAAAATATCTTTGCTAATCAAGTGTATTTGGTTTAAACTATCATTAATGTAAGGACTACCTAAAAAAACAGATAAATATGAGAAATATAATAGATTGAGATTTTATATTTAGAACCAAAGTAAAAATCAAACAAGCTCTTATATTAAGAAACGAAAGTAATACTTTGAAAATAAATAATAATAATAAATTAAATTAAAATATTATATTTATGACCAAATTAAATTTTTAACTAACTCTTATATTTATATTTAGTATTTCTAATAGCCCTGTAACTATTAGTGCGGTGGGCCCGTGGCAAGTGGAAGTTGGGCAATCAACTACTTGTGCAGCTTAGGTGAACTGGAAGTTTGATGTGTTTGGCAATTGGGAAATAAGAAGGGAATTCAAGTTTCAAAGAATGGGGGGTTATGGTACAGCTCAGCTGACAGGTTTTGAAAGGTCAACAACTCAAATGGCACCCTTGATCGGAAGCTTGTGGGGTCCACGCACCACCTCATCACATCTACCCCGCTTCTTCTTCACTTGTTTTCCGTTTTAGAAGGTCAACAACATATTACTAGGCGAATAATGGATTCATGGGTTTAATGTCATTTCCTTGTGAAACCCCCAAAAAAAAAAAAAAACCCAAATATTCCCTTTCTTTTATGTTGTTTGGAAGCGACTGTCTTTATTGGTTCGGATTGCTGGTTGGTAAATGAGAAAACCCTTGGAGGCCCATCTGTAGGTGAGGCCTCGACTCTTGAAAGACATTTGCAAGATGTACACATGCGCACATATATTTTAACGTTTGTAAAATACCTCATCTTTTTTTTTTAACCTTGATAAAATACCTCATCTTTTCTAGTTCTAGAATCTAAATAATAAGAAACAATTCTACAAAAAGAATTTTAAGATAACTAAATTTCAAAAAAAAGAATTTTTTTCCTTAAAATGTATCGTTATTTACAAGTTTAGTGTTCTCAAAATTTATTAAAATGTTGTTACGAAATCTCATCTTGAATTTAGTACTATCTCTAGTCCTAATTATAAGACCTTATTGGATATCTTTTTAAATTTTTCTCTTTAAATAACTAGGAGAATGACCACCACAGGATATCATACAGGATATCACACAGATATTGGTAATATGTCAAGAGGCAACTTATGTGTGTGGCCTGGATTGTTTGGTGTAGTAGTATCTACACACACATATATAAAGCCACTTGAGACCTGACATCAAACAACAAAAGTGAGTGTGAATATGAAGTTGAAGTTGAAATCCTCTTAACATAACATTAAAAAGAAAACGTTAATTAAATAAAAGTCTTGCACGTGAATTAAATTTATAGTTAATGTATTGATGATTCCTTGACTGATATCCCAATAATGCTGATAAAAAAAAAACTTTTGAAAATTGAAGATCCAGCAGAGATTTTGAACGATGTACGATGACCACTGCCGCACTAAAGCGGAGTAATCCTCCACCGAATCTTATAAAACTAGCATCATTTTGACTTTACAATCTCTCTAGATTGGTGAATTTTCCTTTCGGTCTCGTGGACGCCATCAAGGCATAAACAATTCACTGAGTCAAAATAATTGCTGTAGGAGCCAAAGTACGCTTCTGGTGTCCAAATCTCCATCGGAATCCTAACGGGAACGGTTAAATGAAATTTTGGAATTGATCATTTCAATACCTTGGAATGCTACGTAAAGTTCAAGATTTGATACTTATGTATGGGTTAAGTTTGAATCTTATCGTGGCACATGTAAGGCATCACGCAAGAGTTTTTCGAAGGGGTCATAATTTGTCAGCAGTTCAAAGATATACTAGCAAATAAGGCTTTCTAAGTTGTCAAATAGAGCCATTAATTGTTGTGAGGAAACCGTTGAAAAACTTGAAAGCTGAAACTAACCATTAATGTATATTCATTACTACTTGTAATATTCAAGACTAACTCTCACAAAGTCTGAAATGGATCTGTATTGTCAACCCACAAAGGCCACAACAGAATGATCTTGGATTTTCCTATGGTTTTAGAACCGCCCCATAATAGATTCATGGAAACAGTCAACGAGCCTCGTCTTTAAATCCCACTTGTTCTGTGTCACATGCTCATTTTTATCCTGCTGCATAATTGCCACGCGTTGGCAAATCCGTGGTTCCCCTAGTTATGGTTTTTAATTTTGACTTCCACACGTCCCTCACTTTTGCAACTTGTGCTCTCCTTTGGACTCCCATGATCAAATATTAAGAGAATTTATTGTCTGTTTTGTCGGCTTCTTCTCAAGTTGCTCTTCCTTCTTCTTCTTCGTCTGACTTCTGCAACAGCAAGTCAGATTGCTTACTAGTTCTCAATATGAGCCTCTGAGTTTCAAAAACTTCTTCTTTCTTCATTATATCCAGTTCTTCCCTATAGTAACAAATTCTTGGAGCAACATGGAAAAAAAGCCTTGGCCTTTGTTTCACGCAATTGCCCCCTTCATTTCGGTGTTGTCTATTTCCCTTTTGTCTGAAGTCTTCTTGGGGGCGATTCTACATGCAGGCAAGATCTCTCCAGGGTTTCAAGGCACTCACATGATATACATAGACAATGATGGCAAGTTTCTCGAGTCAAACAATGGAGAATTCGTCTTTGGCTTCATCTCCACAACAAATGGTACCTCATCGTTTCTCGTAGGAATCGTCCACAAGGCCACTGAAACAGTGGTTTGGACTGCAAATAGAGGAAGTCCTGTTTCAGAATCTGACAACTTTGTGTTTGATGAAAATGGTAACGCCTTCTTACAGAAGGAAAGATCCATGGTTTGGTCTACAAATACTAGTGACAAAGGGGTCTCGTCAATGGAATTGTTGGATACAGGAAATCTAGTTTTGCTTGGGAACAATGGAAACGTTGTTTGGCAGAGTTATAGCTACCCAACAGATACCTTGTTGCCAAGTCAGGACTTCTCAGAAGGAATGAAACTTATCAGTGAGCCTTCACCTAATGATAACTTGACCTATGTTCTTGAGATCAAATCTGGGGACGTCATTCTTTCTGCTGATTTCCCAGCTGCTCAGATTTACTGGTCCTTGCAGAAGGATAACCGCAAGACCATTGATAAAGACGGTGGTCTTGTAGCTTCAGCATCACTGAGTGAAAATTCCTGGAGGTTCTATGATAAAAACAAGTCCTTGTTATGGCAATTTATTTTTTCTGAAGATTCAGAGACAAATGCCACTTCGGCTGCTGTTTTGGGAAATAAAGGTTTTCTCACTTTCTCTGCTTTAGGACGTCAAAGTGCTCGAGTTTCTCCAATTAGAATTCCACAAACCTCTTGTAGTACACCACAACCTTGTGGTCCATATTACATATGTACAGGTAATAACAATTGTCGCTGTCCTTCTGTTCTTAGCTCTCGTTCGGATTGCCAACCTAGGAATATTGTCTCTTCTTGTAATAACTCTAAAAGTTCTGTAGAGCTCGTGAAAGCTGACTATGGAATCCATTACTTTGCCCTTGATTTCCTTCCGCCCTCGTCAAGAACTGATTTGAATGGTTGCAAAAATTCTTGCCTTCGTAATTGCTCGTGCCTTGCTATGTTCTTCCATAACAGTTCAAGGAACTGTTTTCTGTTAGATAGCATAGGAAGCTTCGAGACTTCGGATGAAAATTCTGGGTTTGTTTCTTACATTAAGGTCTCGGCTTCTGGAGGCAGAGGTAGTAATGAAAGGAGCAATAATCACACCATAATTGCTGTGGTCGTTGTTTTATCTACATTGACTTTAATATTGGTGGTCGCTTATGTGGGATTTCGATATTATAGAAGAAAGCCAAAATTGGATGATTCTTCTGGGGAGAATTCAGAAGAAGACATTTTCTTGGAGAATTTAACTGGCGGGCCAACTCGTTTCAGCTATAAAGATCTTGAAATAGCAACACGTAATTTCTCAGTGAAGCTGGGACAAGGGGGTTTTGGTTCAGTTTATAAAGGGGTTCTACCTGATGGGATTCATGTAGCTGTGAAGAGATTGGAAACCATTGGGCAAGGAAAGAAAGAGTTTAGAGCAGAAGTTAGCATCATTGGGAGCATCCATCATCATCATCTGGTCAGGCTTAAAGGGTTTTGCGCAGAAGGATCTCATAAGCTTCTTGCTTATGAATATATGGCAAATGGTTCATTGGACCGATGGCTATTCAAGAAAAACGAAGGAGAGTTCATGTTAGATTGGAATACCAGGTTTAACATAGCACTAGGAACAGCAAAAGGACTAGCTTACCTCCATGAAGATTGTGATTCCAAGATTGTACATTGTGACATCAAACCAGAGAATGTGCTTCTTGATGACAAATTCCTTGCTAAAGTTTCAGACTTCGGTTTGGCCAAGCTAATGACTCGTGAACAAAGCCATGTTTTCACAACTCTTAGGGGAACCAGGGGATATCTCGCACCAGAATGGATCACAAACACTGCTATATCAGAGAAAAGTGATGTTTATAGCTACGGGATGTTGTTGCTAGAGATCATTGGAGGAAGGAAGAATTACGATCCGAATGAAACTTCAGAGAAATCTCATTTCGCATCTTTTGCTTTTAAGATGTTGGAAGAAGGGAAGCTGAGAGACATTGTTGATTCAAAGTTGGAAATGGATGAAAACGATGAAAGACTTCGTAATGCTGTTAGAGTTTCATTTTGGTGTATACAGGAAGACATGTCTCGGAGGCCTTACATGTCCAACGTTGTTCAAATGCTTGAGGGTCTCTGTGCTGTTCCTGAGCCTCCAACAAGTTCGCTATTGGGTTTCCGCCTTTACCCATCTCTGTTTCAGCCCAACCGAGAAGAAGTAGAACCATCAAACCCCAATAAAGATTCTTATACCTCTGCAGTTCGGCTTTCAGGACCAAGATGACAAATTATTTGGTACCAGTGTCATAGTTAGATATCTGTAATGTAAATTTTGCTGAGTTCCTTGAGGGATATATAGTTATTAGGTATCATGTTCAGATTTTTACCAGCATTACATAGTGAGAGCAACTTGATTCATATCTGTAACATATCATGAGAATATAAACTCATCCAAACACAAGCCAAGAGTCTGAATTCCAGAGATTTAAAACAGGTTGAATATGAAATTTGAATGATTTGCTAGCAAAGGAATCTATAACCCAGGCTGAGACTTGAGGCGAAGGGTTAAATTTGAAACTTTGTCCAGAGCCCACACTGTTGCAAGGTTTAATTGTTGTCCAACTTAGGAGTTTTCATATTTTGGTGAAAAGATGTCAGCACATTACTTATGAGTTTTTATCTATCTTTTTTTTTTTTTGGGCCAAACACGTAACTCGACCCCGTTCAAATGCTCATACGATGGCCTATTCAACTGATTCACTGAATAACTACGAGAAAAAAAGAAATGAGAATATGGAGTCTGAAGATTGGAAGAAAGCACAGTAAGCATACATTTTTTGGCGTTCAATATTGTGAAGAGACGTGAATGGGTTTGGTTGGATAAAATTGATGCCTTCGCAAACTCGTTGCTCCTTAAGCGATCCCTCAATGAGTCTGGTTCAGTTTCCTCTTTTCTAAAAATATCCACATGCATGATAAAAAGGCCAAGCTTTACATCGCAGAAGCAAAGTATCCACCTGTCTCTTGTGAACAACCAACTTCTCTTGTGTTCAGTTTCAAAAGGAAAGTTAGGTGCAATTGAACTTTTCCTCCTTGGGGCTTAAATTTATTTGCCATCAACTTTTGAGCTTCGACTTAAAAGAAAGGCTCCATCCTTTTCACAGGAACTAACCCACTTATCTACCTTAAAACGTAACATGTCAATTTTAGCTAAAGTTCTGTGTTAATTGAACTATGTTAAAATGAGAAAAATAGAGAAGGACCGTTTAGGGGTATTAAACTCATTGTTGCATCCAATTACCTCGTATTTCACAACTTCACCACTTCAAGCATAACACGACGACGTGACAGTTTGATGTTTGACTGTTAGAATAACATAAGTAAATAGCATAGGCTTGACTTGTAAGTATGAATCAGTCCATGTATGTATACGCAGAGCCTCAAGTATGTACGTAGTTGTAAAAGTCATATTATGGCAAGATGAAAGACGAATTATTATTAAAGTAGAAAAATACGCACCAACAGTTTAAGGTTGTGAGCAGTATTGAAGGCACGAACTGTTACTTAAGATTACCAGCAGAATCAAAGTCGGAAACTCTTACGTGTCATTAAGTTACAAAACAATTGACGGGAGACAAAAATGTAGACCCTTGTTTCTCATGCACAGTACGATCACGTTGATTATGGCGTATTATAAAATTGATACACTAGATAATTGTATAATGGTGCATGGTTGAGGCCGTAAAAGATGACCCACCAGAGTGTTTGTATGAAATCAACCTGCCGGTTGAGATGATCAGGATCCACAATCGAATCCGTTCGAGGACAGCGAGATAGAGACTAGAGAGAGAGAGAGAGAGAGAGAGAGAGAGAGGTGACATATTTTAGAAGGGAAACCCCAATATGAAACCCATTTTAGATGGTGTGGAAGGTCCCGAACAACGACATGTGGACGAAATTCTGCGTTTGTGGGACAAAGCCAATTGAGCCCTAATTAAAAAGGCTAAAATCTTGTGTCTTTCTGTTTGGCTGGCATCTTAGTTCGTTTTAATAAAGTAAGTGATAGACATAGCTCCACACTTTGAAAATTGGAAGTCTTAAATTTGAAAATTGGAACACCCTAAGGATATTATCAAGAATCTTATATATAGATCATCGTTATCCTTTTATAAAAGAAGTGGGACATGCCTATGGTTGCGCTGTTCCTTTTCCTATTATGATTGATTCAACGGGCACACAAATGCCCACAAACCCACGGAATTAACAGTAACCTAATTTCTAAAGCCCTTCATAAATATCATAAATATGAAATTGATAATTCTCCCACGACTCAGGTTTACTCTTACATGACTAGACAACACGCAAATGGATAAGATGACCAATACATGATGTTACAACTTTCTTTTTAGAATCTTCATCTATCTGAGCACAATATAAGGAATCAGTATATTTTATACGTATAGAAGATTGGATTTGAGAAATACTAGCTAGGATTCGTCGTCATATTGTAATCCGGTGGAGCAGCGTCCGGGGCGGCAGAAAAATAGAGAGGTATCTAATATGTAGGATGGAGGACCAGCTCATATATTGGTGAAAGTGGAATGTTGCTGGGGACAAAGACAATTGCCGGAGGTTGTCCTTATCGGTACCACACGAAACAAATGACACAAATAAAACGACAAAAGCATTTGAACAATCTTCTTATATACTCTCTAGTCATATTTATAGGATAAAAAGAAAAGAATTTTTTAGTCTTATTTATATGTACTGAGAGAAATTTTTTGTATGAATGTATAATTTTATCTTTCATTTATTATTATATTAACTTTGTTTATTGAAATATAATATATATTAAATAATGATAAAATTAAAATGTTATTAAATCTTAAATAAAAATTTATAAAATTTGAGATTTTTCGTGACCTGTGCAAAACATACTAGAAGAAAGTAAACAAAGATTAGGCGTATCGTCAGAATGAGAGAGATGATGATTACATTGCAGAATAAATGATGCTTATCCGTAAACACTCACTTCTTTAATGCATGCGCCTCAGTTTGTGTTTCCCCCTAATCTTACCTTCACTCGTTGTCATGCCTGTCTTTTGTTTTTTCTCATAGCAACGTTTATGTTTGTTTTTATGCCGATTAGTTTGTCAGCAACAGAATTTAAAAGTCTTATTTTATCTTCATTATAGGATAAAGATATGATACTTTTAAAGATTAATTTTTTGTTGGCCATATCTTACGCACTTATTATATTCTTCATAAAGAGTTCAAACTTACAATATATAGACATCCATAAATTATATGGAGTGTTCAGAGAAGAAAAACTCATGATCTGAAATCAATCATCAGCCCTTGATTTTTTGCTCCAAAACCAATGGTGGCTTAAGGGTGGAATTGGCAGAAATAATTAACCTAATTTACTTGACGCTAGTTTTATTCTATTTATACGGAGTTTTTATAGCGGGATGATTATGGTAACTGAGGGCATGTGGAGTGGCTAGACAAAATTCTTGAAATATGTTAAAAAAATATTTTTTCCTGGAATATCTTAAACATTTTTAAATAAAGGGAAAATGAAAGGAAAAATCTCAAAAAAGTAATTGTTGAATCTTAAAATTCTAAATTAGTATCAGTTACCACACTCGTAAGGAAAATAACTACATTCAAAAAGTAAATGATAACATATTTTTGTAGTAATTCTTGATTTGAAATTTTAAAATTCAATAGTCATTTTTGGGGATTTTTCCAAAATGAAAAACCTAGAAATAATGAATATTCACTTTTATTTCTATTTTAAAAATTGTAGTTTTATATAGAAATTTCAGATATGATCTTCGGGCAAAAACTTGGATTAAAAGCATAAATGTGTTGTCATTACTGGTCTTACAGTTGATTAAGCCAAGAGAAAGAGTTTGATTAAATTAAATGGCGATGCCTTACCACCTAACTCACCACCCCACATTTAAAAGATAATGACCCGTTTACTTGCTCTCTCCCGCTAAGGTGCGTTTTTAATCATTATAGGCTTGAAACAACACGCTTCAACCGTGATTTTTTTTAAAAAATGTTTTTGTGAGAAAAAAAAAGGAGACATGATAAATTCACACTTAATATTTTTCCTTCCAGATTCGGATCCACGAATGGTCCTCATAAACATATAAGTCGATTTTAAATGAACTTTTTAAAGTAAAATGTTACTTTCATTCATAAGAATTATTTTTTAAATAAATTCCAGTATTTAAAAATTAAACATAAATTATCGATAAATTAATAATAATAATTACTACGTTAAGAAACAATTTAGGGATCTGTATGAAAAATGAATTACTGGAGTACATGATTATACATCAATTCAGGAGCTTGTACCAAAAGGGCCTAATTAAATGCAGCTTTTATCTTAATCTTAATTGAGTTGTAAAGGTGGTCTAACTTTAATTTCCTGAGACCCTTAATTTACTTTTGAATTATAGACGCCACCATCTTAGCTTTCTTTTCATTTCATTTGTCCCCTACACAAAAAGGTTGCTTCAATTATATCAGCAGCACACACATACATAATATATAAATTAACGAAAATTGACAATTATGTACCCATTAATACAATAATAAATTCAAATGAAGTTTTTGTGTTCCTGTTGCTAATTTTTCGGTAAAAATTTAATAACAATTTTGTATGATTTAATATTTTACAACATCTTAATTTATAAATTCTATTAAAATATTTATTGACTGGCATTCTAGCATTTCATTACTTGCATGCGTGCATCCTGCATATGCATTTTATGAATAACTAAAGATATTTTTTTTTTGCATATTGCATATGCTTTCGAAATTAGCTCATGAATAAGACGATTATTTCCAATATGTTTATATGTTGATGCGTCTGTCTTATTAATTAATAAAAAATAATTTTTATGATAAAATTTTGAATGATTGCCAGAGTAAGGAGCATACTTAAAAGAACGGTAATCACTTGAGTTATCCTCCAACATAATTACCAATATGGATTGATTAATTAATTGTTTACTTGTTTTTATTTGGATTATTACATTTTGATTAATTGTTACCAACCCTTTTTGACATGACTCGTTACTTGTTGTGATCTAACCTCCCAATAAAGGGCTAAGAGCATTTATAAGTTAATTGACTCGCCTAAACTTCTATTGCACCATTCTAATCAAATTTAAATTATATTACATATTAATTTTTCTAAACAAAAAATGATGACAATAACATACAAATAAAATAACATGATTGATCGATCTGGCAAATAGAAATCAATTAAAGGAAAAGGAACATAATTAATTTACTTTGAATCTGATATTTCCCCTCATAGAGATGCTTATTTTAAATGCAAATGTGATTAATTATCTAATTAAAGGTCAA